CTAAAACTAAGAATGATGATATAAGTACCTTTTAATTAAAGAAATCTACCAACGTTTTTTTTTTTTGGTTTTCTTTTTTATTGAAAAGATTGGTCATCCTTTTTTACTTTGTGACAATTATTTGTCTAATTTTTACACAACCTTTGCGGTTTATTTTTGTAATGTAAATATTTTTAAAGAGTTTATTAATAACATACCGTAAGACTGTAACAAGAATGGCAACATTTAGCTGGTTAGATACATATAAAAACATACTTTGTGCATTTGCAAATAAGAAAAAAAAGCTACCAACAAAATTATTTGTAGCAATATTATTTATATATTATAATTGTTATTTATATATTATAATGATTATTTATATATTATAATTGTTATTTTTATATTATAATTATATATATATTATAATTGTCTATAGTATTTAAAAAAAAATAAGTTTAATTATCAGCTTACCATCGAGGTTTCGGTACCGCTTAATAAAAAGAAATATATAAAATATACTAAAACCACAGAGCTAAAATTTAATAAAAACACAAGTCTAGGACACAATAGGACAATAGAATCATTTCAAAGTGGGAAAATCAAAGCAAAAAAAAAAAATTAAATTCATATATAGTAGGGTAGATTAGGGTAATATGAGCACCTTAAGCAAAAATTGGAATATTTTCAAAAATAAGTATGCTGGATCCAAAATTTTTACAAATAAACAATTTTTAGGGATCCTTATTCATAATCTATTTAAATATTTGGGCACTTGACATTTTTTCTTAAAAACACAGAGGTTTTAAAAAAGTAGCAAAAGTGCTCGTATTACCCTGACCCCTTGGTAATATGAGCACTTTAAATTAGCTCAAAAAAATAGCATTAATTAAGTAAAAAAAGACCAACCTGCTTAATAGAACTAATTGTTGGAATATAAGGATTCGTGATTAACAAAACATATCATTAAAAGATCAAATTTTAAGCTACATTTTGTTGAAACAATACTACTATGTTTTCCGCCAAAAAAAAAAAAAATTAATACATCGTTTTTTCAATTTTGTTAACTCAAACCTTTGAACAATAAAAATAAAAATTTTTTAGATTTAAGTTACAGAAAAATATTTAGTATTGGTAATATATTTAAATTTTTTACTATGGATTGTTTTTATTCAAGAAGCAATTAAAAACCACTGCTATTTTAGGACTTTAAACTAAGCAATTTCAATGAAAAGCACTGGGTAATTTGAGCATGCTCATATTACACAAAAATGGTATCTTTAAATAAAGTCAAAAATAAATGTTTCTATGCATTATTTTTCAAACAAAAATGAATTGGATTTTTAGCTAATATATTTTTCTTTATGAAAAAATTAATTTCATTATTTTAGCACCAAAATATCGCGCCACAGAATGATTCACACGTGATGATTTTTTTTAACAAAGCAAAAAATTTAAAAGCGTTTTAATTAGATGATATCCGCTAATTACTGCGTATAAATTTACGCTATTTGTACTGATTCCTGTTATCACTACATAAAGTCGATTCGAAAAACATAAAGCAACTTTAACTTCACTGCTTACATCTAATAAATCTTTAAGTATGCTCATATTACCAAGGTGCTCATATTACTCTAATCTACCCTAATATAAATAATTTTTTTAAAATTAGATTACTCTTTAACTTTTTTTTTATGATTTTATATCTGTTTTACTAACAATTGACCAAAAAGGCATCGCTACCAAAAATTCGAAAAGCTTTACCCCTACTTTTCGCTTCTTAGGCAACCAGAAACCGTTCCGGCTCCTCCGCTATTTTTTTAAATATTAAAATTAGTATCTCTAGTCTGCATCTGGTCCGCTACTAACCTTTTTTTTTAATCTAACAATTATTTTTTTTATATCTAAAATCTAATTTTTATATCATAAAATCTATATAAACGAACTTTTTAATTTTTTAATTTTAATTTAACAGTTACATTGAATTTAACTGTTACATTGAATTTTACTGTTACATTGAATTTTACTGTTACATTGAATTTTACTGTTACATTGAATTTTATTGTTACATTGAATTTTACTGTTACATTGAATTTTACTGTTACATTGAATTTTACTGTTACATTGAATTTTACATTTTATATGGTTTTAATTTTATATGGTCCTAATTATTCTATAAATTTTAAAATTTATAAATTAACATTAATATTGATGAATATAAATAGTTGAGAATAATAAAAAAAGTATATTATCAACTTGTTGCTCTCACATTTGAGAATAGCAAGTTCCATATCTGAAAGTTAGCTATATATTAAGCACCAAAATTGCTGCATCCGCCCCTGGCTAGTTGTAGACATATAAAACGCGCGCACCTAGGTTCAAAATCTTTTTATCGAATTGCACATCTTGGATTATTTTGATAACACCATAATCTCATTTTCCTTTTACTTAATTTTCAAAAATCCGTAATTAAATTCATTTGCTAACTTTGAATGCTAAGGCTGCAGCGCTTTGATTTTAATTTTTGTTAGCTATCTCAGTCTGCAACCATAGTTGCTAAGAGAAAGCAGTTTTGCAACTCGACTACCAAATGGAGAGTCCGTATGCAGCATAGTTGTAGATGTGCGGATCAAGTCGTTCTGGTAATTGAGCGTGTTTTTATAAATTTCCAAACTCTGGTAATTGAGCTATTTAGTGAAGTCTAATAAATGTTGCAACTATTTGACTTAATGACAAAAATCTGAAAAAAAATAAAATAAAAAAACTATAATTTATTCATCATATTTATAAGTTTCCATATATAAATCTACTTTAATAAACTGATTTAAATTTGAAAAACGTGTTTATTAAAGTTAAAATAAAAAAAGTTAGGAGAAAGAGATTTTTTTCTAACATTAGTTTTTTATTTTTGAAATAAATTTCGTAAAGTAAAATAAATAGTTTAATCATTATATTCAGAAAACAATTAGAAACAATTTTTTTTTTTTGAAGATTGTAATCGTTTTTTTGTTTTTTTTTTAAATTTAATACAGTTTTTTCATTTTTTTTGTTTAAAATACTTGACTTGGGTGATCTCGCAAGCAGTATACAAAAAAAGTATGCTTTTCTGCAATAAGCAGAGCAAACTTGTTTCCAAAGCATTTGTACACCACTAATCAAATGATGAATGACAAAAGAAAATCACGCAGATGGGAAAATCCCAAAAATTAATTTTCTTGATTCTTCAGTAAAAAAAAGTTTATAAAACTTAGGCTACTTCAGTGTGACCAAGACTAAGACAGTGGACTCATTTACTTTTAGTTTTCAGTGGACCAAGACTCATTTACTTTTAGTTTTGGCCTTTTAAAATAATATTTTGCTTTACGTGACCCTATCCTGCAAATAAGCTTTTGCAATTTATTGATGAAGAACAATAAACTTTAAAAACATTATAATATAAAATTTAAAAAATTTCATAAAAGTTTTTAATTAATGTTTTATTAAACATTAATAAGAGGTATATTTTAGGACAAATTAAATGTGGTAAAGATGTTATAGTACGCTATTGTACACTAATTACTTTACTAATTGTTCGCGGAACTTCTTTTATCTAGCCATTCTTAACCATTATTTATGATTGCAAAGTAAAAAAGTTTTACAATACAATTTTGTATTGTTTCTTCTTCAAATAGAATATTGAAACTGAACTTGTTCGAGTTTTAGAGTTGGGTATTTGTTTAAACAACATTAGCAGATGTTTTGCGTTATATGATTTGTCACTTATTATTAGCATGTTATCTTTTTATAAGCTAAATGAATTTATTTAAATTTATTTTATTGAATTTATTTTGCAGGTCTAGATGTTACATTCTAAACTAGATATTGATAAATTTTTAAAAATATACTAAATGGGAATTTTTAAAATATATTACACTGCATTCAACAAGTTATTTCTAAACCTTTTTAGCTTAAATTATTCGAATTTGTAAAAAAAAACTAAGTAACATTTTTCAACTGTTATTTTGTTTTTTTGATGCCACTGTTGTTTGACTCTGTCAACAACAACAACAAAAATTCTATTTATTTTTTAAACTTTTCGTTTTGATTTTGGTAAAATGAGCTCTTGCCCATTGTGTATAAACGATACAATTTTTGTTTTAATCTTTATTGCAAAGAAGTAATATTATAAAAAACAAGAAACTCAATTTAACTATCAAGAAACTAAACTCAGGTTTGGTGCTTTATAAGCATTTGGTGGTTAAGGAGTTGCTATGCATTACGAATATCTCTAGTAACCAAATAAATAGAACTTTAGCAACCGTAGATTTACCATCAAAAAACTTTTCGATCAATTGCAAATATGAGAATATTAAACTTCTAAAGAACTTCTTTGTTTTTATTCATTTTTTCCAAAGTTGGTTTTTATGCTTCAATGGTTGCAATAACATCATTTTTATGGTGCAATACGATTTTATAGTGCAATATGATTTTATGATTTTATTTTTATAATGCAATACCATAAGGAAAAAATTTACAATTAAAGTTTTCTCAATGTAGCTACAATCTAGATTTGTAAAATTTATGCAGTCCTATAAAAAATTGATTTCAATTTTTTGACTTTTTTTATATCGCTTGAATAATATGCAAAATCATAGCTTTATTGTAAACTAACAATATTGTATAGGATAGGACTCAAATTTAACTTATATCTTAAAATATGTATGTATGGCTTATTCACTATAATTTCTTAAAATATGCACACTTTTATTTTCGTGTAATAAATATGTTGAGATTGACAGACATGCTTTAACACTATTAAAACTGAATAGCGTCTCCTTAACAAGATAAGAATTTCTTGTAATTAAAACACAAAACATTTCTGAGATTTCTTAAAACTTTACATAAAGGATTTTCAGGCTTACTAAACCACTGATAAGCCGAGTAATCTTGTTAAGTGACATAAATTATTTTTATAAATCACGTGGTGGTGCTTATGTCTTATAACTAAAAAAAAAGTGAAGATTTAAATATTTCACTTCCTGAACATACGCATAAGTACGAAGGTGATGTATTCAGTCAGCGGAGATATCACGTTTGCACCAAAGATTTATAATCATAGTCCAATTTTAACGACAAACAATACATGTAAAACCACGCGCAGTGAACGCGGTTATTCCCATACTTTAGAATACTTTCCAAATAGACCAATAATTGCAAAGTCTCAACTAAATAACAAAACACCAATATGGCCTCAGCAAAATGCAAGTAAAATAATAAATTATACAGCACCTTACAATAAAAACATTGATGAAAATTACAGACGACCTTTGGAGTTATTTAAACAGGAAACTCCTTATAACAAAGCACGAAGAAAACATTTTGAACATTATCAGCTATATCAGAACACAAAAGAACACGCTTTATTAAAAAGTAAGATTTTAAAGTACTTTTTTCTGTGTGTTTTAATATGTAATTGAAATTGTTTATTTATGTTAAGTTTCCAGTTAAATCTTTTTTTTTAATTAAAGTCATATACTACGAATTATATGCCATGCGTAATAATGTTACAAATAAGTTTATCATATTACGTAAAGTATAAGATATTATTACTTTTATTTTATGAAGTTTACTGCTTTTCTTAATAAAATTGTTATTATGTATATAAACCTTTTGTTAACAGATGTTGCTGCGGAAAAAAAAATTACTACTGAATTAATAGTATTAGATGATTTAAAAGAATACAAAGGAGAATATAAGTCAAATGACAGCCAGTCGAGTGACAACCAATCTAATGATGCTTTTAGAAAACGGTGCTCTTTCGGACATAGCAAAATAATTGAGCTAGAAAAAGAGTTCAAGTACAACAAATATTTGAGTCGTGATCGTCGTGTTGAGTTTGCACGAAATCTTGAGCTTAGTGAATCCCAAATTAAAATTTGGTTTCAAAACAGGCGCATGAAGCAGAAAAAAGAACAAACAGTGAATGATTTAACCAAAAAAGACGATGATTCACCTTGGTTTCGCATTGAAAAGTTACATTCACTAACAGAACCATTTCTATCAACTAACCAAGTATCACCGATGTTTCATACCTTTTTAAACTGAAAGCTCTAAAAAGTTCTAATTAAAAGCGCTAGTCGAGTAGTTTAAATTGTCCGTTTACTATAAAACCGTTTTTGTCTTTTTTTTTTAAAAAAAAAAAGTCTATTACATATTTCGGACTTGACTTGGTTTACAAAAGTTTCGTAAAATAAAAAATTATTTATGCATGAAAAATGTAACCATTCATACGGTTTAATAAAGCTCGATTTAATACTCATTGATAAAAAAAAAACACGATGAAAATCCCGTAGGAGCCGTCTAATTCTATCATCTTATATTGTTACGCAGCTTATAATCTAATATAAATAGAAAAAACTAAAATTTTCTTCTTTAATGCATTTTTTCAAAGACTTATACTAAATATGACGTAGTTTACATTTTCTAAATTAGTAAAAAACGAAAACATATATACGACTATATAAACGAAAAGTTGCAAAGTCAATGACCATACTCGATAAAAACTAATGGTTAACTCACCCAAGTAATCTGATACACATCTAAATGTATATAAGTTATTTTAACAAAATATCATAACGTGCTGTTTAAAAATGTGGCAAACCATGTGGCCGGCAAAGTTGTTAACGTAATAAGATGTTGAAGAGTCTCGTGATCATGAAGAGTCATAAAGATCATGAAGGTCATAAAAAGTGGAAATTTAGCTAAATCTGATATAAAACGTTCGATAAAGAAAAAAATTAGTCTTTGGAGATGAACTTTCTTTAATCAATAATGTTTATAACGAGTGACGATTCAAGTTAACGACTATCTGTCTGTTTTAAGTTTTTTGGTGACCAACTAAATCTATTTTAAAATAATAACTTTGACCAATGAATTAACACAGCTGTAAATACTGTAAATAATATGTGTAAATAGTTTATATATATATATATATATATATATATATATATATATATATATATATATATATATATATATATATATATATATATATATATATATATATATATATATATATATCTTTTTAAATTTCCGTGCTGATTATAATTAACAACCCATAAATATTGAACAGATAAAAGAGGTAAGTTGTTATCTTAAACTACTTTAATTTAGGTTATATTTTAGTTCATTTATAACTGTTCATTTACTTTTTGTATTTACAAGTGTTACAATCCATTAATTAGAAAGTAATATCGGGATGCTAAAACTTCTAAAATACTAAACAAAGATTAAAGAGTTGGGAAAAAAAAATTAAAATTTATGTTAATATAATTTAAGAAATTGCTGTGTCATATATTTTAAAAACGTATTCTTTTGAAAAATTTGCGTCATTCATGTAACAACATTGACTCATTTATGATGTATGTGTCATAAATGATCAATTTCTTTACTTATTGGATTTCTTTATTTGTTAAGCTTAAGTTAAAAAGTGTTTTTAATAACTTTTTTTTCTCTGACGGAATTAGTTTTTCTCTGTTGTATTTTGTTGTTCTTTTATCTGGTTTGTGTTCTATTATATATGCTATTTTGTTCTATTATATCTGCTATTGCAAAAATTAAATTAAACCTACTGTTGCTAAGAACTAAATTATTTACTACGGTAATAAGTTTCGTTATGCGATGAAAAATATATAAATTTATGATAAAATCATAGACTAGAAAATTTTATATTATGCTTTTAATAGTTAACGAAAAAACAGCTTTATTTTGTCGAAACCTTTTAGGTGTTGTAGTAGTGTTTTTAAATCTATAATTTTAAATCCACAGAGTTCTAGCATGTCTTAATACTATATTTTAAAGTATTAAAACATGCTTCAAAACATTTCTAATGAAAATAGTTTGAAAACACATATATGTTTTTAGTTTTACGCGGCGGCATTTAATAATCTTCTAATGGGTGGAACTTGATGATTACTTTAACATTAACAGTGTCATCACTTCAATTTACGGTTGTTTCATAAATCTTCTAATCAGGGTTGGAGTCAATCAAATACGAATTCTTTAATTCTAAATTCCCAAATACAAATTGAAATACAAATATATGTAATTGTCATTTTTCAAATACAAATACAAATATAAACATTTATTTTTTAGGTTAGGAAAAAAACAATACTAATTAAGACAATGCTAATAAAATGGTGTACTAAACAGAAGAATAAAAACGAATCTTTTGTAACAAATATAACTTAAAAAAAGTTTTTTGAAACTATTTTAGTTTAAAAAAAAAAAGAAAACAACGAGTCTCTTGATTTTTCCCCAAAAAAACTCCGTTCAACTTAATTTAAAATGTATTTGGAATTACAAATACATTTCAATAAAATACAAATACAAGAATTTAAGAAGTTTTTAATCAAATACAACACGAATACAGAAACGAAAATTTAGCTTATTATTACCTAATACAAATACAAATTCTATTCGACCTCAAGCTTGTTTCAGATAAATGTTTACTTATGCAAACATAATTTTTTGTCAAACTTGGAGCATGAAAAACCGTGCTAAAATTCAACTAAATATTAAGTCCAATAAATACGAAATTGGCGCTTTAAACTATTAAACAATGGTTTAGAGCAGTTTTAACTTTTTTGTATCGATGTACATTTGTAGTATTTATTGACTAAAATTTTAAAAGTCAGAGTAGTAAATTTTAAATTTTCATTCTTTTTGTAAGCTTTTGCAACTTTTGTGCAAGTTTTAATCAAGTTGGGAATTGTTAAAACATTTTTGTTTTTTTTCTTCATAGATCTGATGTTGAAAATAAGAATTGACATTTTTTCGTTTTGTTTAAAACAAATAATCTAAGCTGAAATTTTAACAGAAAACAAAGTTTTGGTTTTCAATTTTGATCTAAAATGTGGTTCATACCAAAATTACAAAAAGTATCAAACACTAAAGTTTGGGTTTTTGTTCCATATTTCGCTTACCTACTTGCTTACTTCTCAAAATCTAAAGATAAAATAGCTATCTACCTCAAGTGCTATATACCTTTACAACAACACCGACGTGACTTTGCCAAGTTAGCCAAGCAAACAACATTTCAAGAAGGTATATTAAATATATGAGCTACTTGCTAACCAAGTTATTTGAAAACCAAGTTGCTAAAGCTAAGCTTAAAAAACCTGTTTTACAAGGTACTTAATTTTTAACACTTTAATACCAAAAATTTAAATTCAAAAATAAGTTTTAGGCGCTACTTTTTAGATTCAAACAAAAAAAAGCCATTTAATCGCTGACGTCAAGAGTAAAAAACTTTTAATGTTGTAACAGTTAAAAAAATCGTGTAGCCTTTAACAAGTTAATGATGTTGGTATCTATAATCCAGCAAACAATTTTTAAAATAAAAAAATTTTAATAATGAGAGAAACCGTATATTTTGAAGTTTTTAAATAATATATAATATACTTACACCCAAGATATCTTTCTTTAAATCATTTGTAACAGCTAAATAGGGGACACCGGGGCAAAGTTAACAATTTTTGTTGCTTATTAATTTATTTTCAAGGATAATATAACTAATTTTACATGAACACGTTAGAGTGTGTTGATATTACATATATCAACATTTACTTATTCAAATAAAAAAAATTAAAGATAATTTTATTTTTTCACAACCTTTACAAATACTCATCTTGCCCCAGTACTGGGGCAAGATGACTTTGACTTTAGGGCAAGATAATAAGACTTAAGATAGTTAATCATATTTATTCTTTTGAAAATGTGACATAATTTAACAAATGATCACTCTATTTTTAAATCATATAAACTATCAAACTAAGCGTAATGTGTTTACATATCTGTTTATGGTCACACCACGCGCATTCCTCACCACCCTCACGTAATGTTTGATGCGTGTTTGTTACCAATGACTAAAATTCTCACTTTAACGTAATGTTGAAATGTTTAGTTGCACCGCTAACAATACTCACAAATAAAAATACTTTTTTAATAATTAAAATATTCCTAGTGCCACCACTCTTGGCATTTATTACATAACACTGAATCCATTCTTTTGTTAGAGGGTCACAATATACCTTTTCAAAAGCAGGATAGCTTATAACATTATCCTTTGAAGTTGATGCAACTAGATTGCTTGCACTGTATTTTATAAACTTAGACCTACAAAAACTTAGCTTGATTTTATTTACACCGTTTTTAACTTCACTAACTTTTTTTCTCTGTTATTTTTTAAATTTTTTTGTTCTAGGAAATATTCTTATTTTGGCAAAAATTAGGTGACAGGTAAAGTCTAGTTGCGCCAAATCAACAAATATTATTTACTCTTTTTTCTCTCTCTCTGCTGAAATAGTTTTAGAAACTCTTCTAGTTCCTGTAGGACTGAGAGCCATGGGTTCAAAATCTGTTCAATGTTTATTCTCACATATTTATTTTTTCACATTCATTCAAGCAGCAATGAAGTGTAGCTTCAGGTTAAAAGTATTTTCACTACCCAAGCAGCTCATAAATCCTTCTTTAGCATTTTTTTGAGTAACCATAGCTTTTTTTTTCCATTCGCCTTTTGAGATTTTTTTCATAGTGCCTAACCATATCTGAAATATTATATATACAATATATCATTATTAAACAATTATGACTAAGTTTTATTTAATTAAACAAATAAAATTTAAAACCAAATAAATAAAACATTCATTTGTTTTAAATAAATTATTTAGCTTATTTGTATATTGTTTATAGTTATTTTTATATTTAACAAACTCCAATTCTATTCTCTTGTTCTATTTATTCTCAACTGAACTCTTACAAATACACTAGTGATCAAAAGTTTAGACTCAGAATAAAACTTATAGTTTCTTAGTGATTTGTGATTTAAAAAAATGCCTTTTTTGTTTTGTTTTTAATTTTATTTTTAATCCAGTTTATTATTTATGAAATTCTCTTTAATATATATAAAAGACTTGAAAAGAAAAACAAGTTTAAAGTATTTTATTTTGAAAATAGCAAAATCATGTAAAAAGATATCTATAAAAATCTTGTTCATAAGTTTAGACTCAGGACTTTTCACTTTAAACTGTAAGTCAAGTTAATAAGGTATGTGACCGCCTTTGTTAGCTATGCAAAGTCTACATCTTCTTTTAATAGATTCAAAAAGATTTCGACAATATTCAAAGGACAAGCCATCAAACAACTCTTTTAAACTTTTTCGTAGTTCTTCAGCTGAAGTTACAGGAGCTTTGGTCAGTTTTCGATCAAGCACAGACCATACATTTTCCATTGGATTTAAATCTGGCGATCTAGCTGGCCACTGGAGTAAATTGATTTTATTTTCTTTAAACCAAGCTGTTACTGTTTTTGCTTTGTGACAAGGGGCATTATCTTGCTGAAATTTCCATTCTGGCTCATCTCCAAAAAATAAGTCTCTTGTTGGAATCAAATTATTTTCAAGCGTCTCAATGTATCTGTATTGATCCATTCTACCAGTGTACAAGTAGCATAGTCCGGGTCCATCATACGTGATACAACCCCAGATCCCAACTGAACCTCCTCCGCCCTGTAACCGAGGTACAATGAAACGATTATGAAACTTCTCATTATGGTGTCTTCGAACAGTTACTCTTTTTTTTCGATTAACGACTGCATAATTCGATTCGTCGCTGAATACAATTTTTTTTATATCACTATCACTCATCTTAAGAATTTTCTTGCAAAATTGTAGCCGTTTGAGTCGATCTGATCTTTTAAGCATTGGTTTTCTAGCAGCAGTATACGAGCATAGTTTACGATCAATTAATCTTCTATTTACTGTCTGCCTTGAGATGTCATTTTTAAGAGCTAGATTTATTTCTTGAGCAATTTGTTTGGCACTATACTTAGGATTTTTTCTGGCAATTCTGTATATACTATTATCATCAGTGGTAGTTGTTTTTCTGGGTCTTCCGGATCTGATTTTATCTAATGTGCTACCTGTTTTTTTCCACTTAGCTAT